CAGCCTGGGGTCATTGTTAGTGTAGGGGTGTCATGCTAGCCCAGCAGGCTTGTTCCAGTGTGCTGAATTCTGCTGTCTGCAGCCAGATATGTGACCAGGCAAGCCAGGGTCAAGTCTCCACTGGCCAACGTAGCAGGGGGAGAGTGAGAAATTGTTAGATATTAAGGGAAATAGAAGAATCAAGTAAATAGGGCGTAGGCAGTCAGGGGTGTCATGTAAACAAAACAGACCACCTTGTCTCGTCTGCCATGTTTTATAGCATAGCTCTAATTTAATCTGCTTCACTCTGTCCTTGACCAGCCGTATAAACGGGGCTAATAAATCTCCCAGATTATCATGTAAAATTGTATTATTTTGTTAACATGGTCAATAGTGGAGGTACAGTCATATGCAAACGTTTGGGCACCCCTGGTTAAATGACGAGTAAAAATAAGTTAACACGTCCTCTACAGAGAACACCCTGAACATTTTAAAACACAATTGCTGTTGCTTATACAAGTTATGACACATTTTATGTTTTATGTTTTATTTTTCCACCTTATTCTTCCACCCCATAATGCTTTGAGTGACTTGTAAGTATAAACATGTTTAATACTAATAACATCCTAACATGATAGAAATGTGGGAATCAAAGCAATTGTAAATAATCTTTATTGTTGGGATGCTTGAATGCTTTTGTACTGATGTTTGTAATCAGTCTGTCATTAGAAACCTGAACTTGCATGAGATAAATGCTTTAGTTAGATGATTCTATTTATAGCCTACATGAATTACTCAAGCTAACAAAGGCATTTCGTTTGAACTTTTTAATTGTGTTTACACTGTCAGGTACATTAAACCATAAAGCAGTGCCATTACATAGTGATGTTAAATGGGCACAGATTTCAGCAATAACAACTGGGCTTTCTCAAGCAGTGAAGCCACATTTATGTGCCCTTTGAAGCACTGCGCTTTTCTAAAAGGTTTATATTATTAATATTGCTGTTCCTGATGTACATGTTAGTTTCTCACTGCTGTGGTGACCGCTGCAAACTGCATGTTGTCCTAGAAAGGTCGCTGAGACATTTAATGGGTCATGAAATGATAACCAGAAACTTGACTTAGCTAAAACTAAAAGTAACTTGACTTAAAAGATGAATAAACAACACTTCTGTTCCTCAATTATTTCGGATATTTCGGCCATGATCTCGAAATATAATGGTGACGTGAAAAATGAGCTAGACATGTTGGATGTGGGTATGTATGCAAATAAATAGAAAATGTGCACTAAAATTTGCAGAAAAATGACATATTTAATTGTGTTTTCTGGGCTTTTTCAAGCAGTGATTACATCCTCTAGAGAACACACTTAAATGTCATTTTTTGACAAATTTTAGTGCACATTTTCTATTTATTTGCATAAATATACATATCCAACATATCCAACTTATTTTTATCCCTTTTACCTTATTTTCACTTAGAAAATCAACCAAACGTCATTTGACTGGGGGTGTTCAAACTTTTGCATATGGCTGAGTTTTCAGACAGTGTGTTAAAGGCGTGGGAGGGGGCAATGTGGGAAGAGCCAATACCCAGTCACTTGTGCTGTCTCACTTCAAATGTCTATTTTAAGTGGGAGTCAATGGCTATGTAGTAATATCTGTAATTTAGGTCTGTTGACATTTAAGATGCAAGAACAGAGAAATAAAAGGAATGACAGGCTGTAAGAAGTAAACACAGCTTATTTTAACACAGAGACATGAGCAAAGCCTCTGTCATACAGTCACCTGTCTACAACACCTGTCAGGCCATCGGCTCCGCTGCCCTCTCGAGGTTGCTTGTTGAGTGCTGGTGTCTTCTAATAATTTTACGATTAATTAAGCACAGTCTGGCTTGGTTAGGGTGTGTTATGCAGAAGAGGAGCGCTGTGATCTGTCGATTGGTTTAAACTTGCTTTGGGCTTGCTTTTTGATGTTTTTTTTTCTTTTGCTCAAACAGCTGTCTCTTTCAGTTTTGTCTGTATTGTGAGGCTCCAGTAGAGTTGCAGTCTGGAGCAGTTAGACCAGCGTTCTGTACCCTTTTAATGGTGTTACTTTGTCTGTTTGTGTTTGTGCTTGCGCGGGTGTACGTCTGTGATTTAGTGTCTGCTTTTTACATCTAGACCACAGGATGTAACTTTGGCTGCTGTGGGCTTTCAGTGCCACGCTACATCAGTGTCAAAATGGCAGAGAGAGAGAGAGAGAGAGGGAGAGAGGACTTGTATATTTGTTTGTGTGGGCTGTGAGTAGTTTGTGGGGGATCTAATTCCTTTTTTTCATTTGTTTGTATCACTTTATGGTCTACTTCCTGCTGTTTCTGTCTTTATGATGATCAAAGTTTCAGTTAAGAACTGCCAAACAGCATCACAGTGCGCTCTGAGTTCACCCAGAAAGAGCACATGGTAAACGTACACGCTGCTCATTTCAGTAAGGGCATTCTTTATTATTCAAAAGCCTTTTGTTGTTGCAGTGCTAAAACTGCCCTGTGTGCTAAAACGATTCCCCAACTGCAGCTTTGATGAGAGCGCAGACATTTCACAAAGAGCTGAGATACTACAAGCTTAGTGAGGATCTTCAGGCCTCTCGTGTTTGACATTAGGGCGTTTCATAAATCAGGATTTCTGAGTTAGCCAACAACTCAAGCCTGTCCAATCAGAGAAGAGGTACTGAAAAAGAGCTCTTTGGCTTCTGTGAAAAAGCTTTAAATGGTATAGAAACATTACACTATGTGGAGGTTCTTTAAACCTTTAGAAAGTTCTTCACTCACACATCTCATTTACTAACATGGTTCTCAAAGAACCATCCAGTAAAAGGTTCAGTAACACTTTTAACACTAATTTAAGGCCCACTGCTAAACTATTTATAAGCAAGTAGTATGTAGCCATTTAACTATTTATATTTATTAATACTGTATAAGGTTCATTAATGTATATGCTAACATTAGTGAATACTTTACTTAGAGATGTGTTAATGCTTCATAAAATATTAAGCTTTAACATGCAGCTGGATGTTTATTAATATTTTACCATTTTTAAATTATGGTTGTTAAGTAGTTCAACACTTTATTAACTTTCCCACACTCCTGTTTAAAATTGATTAAATAATGTTTGTGAAACTACTAAATAATTTGATTATATATTAAAGTGAGTAATACACTCACTTTCACTAGCCACTATAGGAACACCTGATTTGGATATTCATCTTGCTTTACACTTACATTGAACTAAATACCTATTAAATTCACCATAATTTTCACTAACCCTTAATCTGGCTCTATCTATCAGTTTATCCTACTCTTACACTGGTCCTAACCCTAATCCTGGTGCTAATCCTAACCATAACTTTAAAACTGCTTCACAAGATAATTTGTTGTAATTTGTACATACCATCTATACATTATCAATTGGGGCTATCCAAATAGCATGGAACCACCACTTGTCTCAGTCAGGGTTGATTATAAATTAGACAGATTAGGCCTAATTAACACATTTAGGAATTTTTTTATTTATAATACTTAATAGGTCAGTTTCCCAGTCCTACGTTTACCTTTTAGTAGAGAATCTCATTTCGTAATGCTGTCCAGTAGGTTTTGGCCAAGTTGAGCATCAAAACCAGACATTCTATTAAATCCACTACACTAGTTTGTGAGAAGTCTGGCTTGCAAAACTAGCGATGATTATGCAGCGCTAGTGTTAATGTTAGATTCCAATGAGTTATCCAGGGGCAGGCTGGGAACTAGCTGGGAAATATTTAGCTTTCAACCTAACTGACAATATAGACCAGGGGTCGGCAACTCAAATGTTAAGAAAAGCCATTTTGTCCACGCAACAAAAATCTAACCACCTTGGAAGCCCTGACATATTTTGTCCATTTTATTGAAGTAACGTTTTACCTTCTTGGTTGTAAATATGTCTCAGTATGTGCTAATGTCCTAGTATAAGCTAAAAAATGTAAACGAAAACGCAGACTTACTGTGCTCTGCTTTAAGCTTTAGCTCAGCTATAACCACTTTTCTTGTATCTCCTGCAGGAAACTTTTCCTCAAAAGTAGATCAGTTTCTTGTAAAATGTCTCTCAACATTCAACGTTTTATGAGGCTGAAGTCAGCTTCTCATTCACCAGCTTCTTATTTGAATTGTCCCGTTCCACCTTAAATGGTGCCTGAGGCGCCAGAATGTAACTGGTGCACCATTTAAGATGCAACGGGAACATTCAAACAAGAAGCTGGCAAACAAGAAACTGACTTCAGCTTCTCAACATTTTAGTGCTTGACAGATTCTTGTTGCAGATTAAACATATCAGGAAACCAGATGAGTGCTTATAAATGCAAATAAGTCCATTCATCCAAATGATCAATGTTTGTCTTAAATCTGTCTCTTTGCCTTTTCATTAGCTACTAGCTATACACCATTGTGAGATATAGTGACCAGCAGTCTGCCCGCCAGTTTTCAGGGTTAAAGGGTGAAGTAGCAGTTATACATTTAAGACTATTTATTGTTTAAACTGTGTTAGAACAATCAGCAGAGCTTTGTTTTACTGCAAAGGAGGATTATTTTATTTTTATCTTAAAATCTAATTCTGCTGTGGAGAAGGAAAAGGGCAGTAAAAGAGCCGTATGTAGCTCTGGAGCCACATGTTGCCGATCCCTGCAACTCTTTGTCAGGGAGCAGTTAAAATGGTGCTGAAAGGAATGCGTGACTCAGTTACATTCCTCAAAGATTCATTTTTTTTTACTAAAACTATGCAGCAGAGCTAGCTAACTACAGTCGAGATGAATGACACTGAAGCCCAATGACTCTTGCTCTTTCTCCCATGTAACATTCCTGACTCAAAAATGAAACCAATCACTGATTAAAACATATTACTTTATTCTGTATTTAGTATACATCCTGACTGCAGTGTTGACCAGCAAAGAACCAAATTCACTAACATTTAGAACAATCAGCAAGCCACTTAGCTAATCCAGACACAGACATTCCCAGCTCTAACTGAACTGATTCACTCGTACAGAGCAGTTAACTGGCATGATCCTCAGAGCAGATGATTTAAGACCAGCACCAATGAACGGCAAGACTCTTTCAGTGAATCCGTGTGTGAAAGTGTGTAAGTCTGTGTTAGTGAGAGGATCAGAGAAGGTCAGTTTTCCCCTGTCCCAGTCCAGCTGCACTCTGATCCTCTGGACCTTCTGTGGCACTGAGAGGAGATGGGACGGCTCCGGTGAAGAACAGACTCCATATTTACCATTGTAATACCACATACTCCAAACACCACTTTTGGAGAATATCTCTCCGTTTCTCTGATTAGACTCTGCAATCACGCCCAGGTCCCAGGCTGTACTGTCTCCAACTCCAACATCCCAGCACTGTGTCCCTGAGCTGAAGCCTTCAGAGCCCAGGACAAATGGATATGCTTTAAACCTCTCTGGGTTTTCAGGAAGTGGCTGTTTCTCATCATTGAATGTCACACTGGTCAGATCTTCAGACAGGATGAGTTTAGAGTGAGCAGTGTTGGGGTCCAGAGTTACTGGAGCTGTAAAAAAAATATACAGTATTTAGCAAACATATGCATATGAACAGAGTGGGGCTGTCAAAGCGATTAAAATAAATAATCGCTTTGAATGTATGGTTCGCATTGAATTGCATTATTTTGTATGGTTACGTTACGCCTTGTTCTGAGGGGAACAGTAGCTTTCCACTTTGCTGTTGCTTTTGTTAGTTTGCTGCTCATTGATTTTTCTAGATTTCTCCTGTGAGCGCTGTCTAGCCCAGTCCGCTGAATTACTGGAATTCAGGCATCAAGGCTGTGCTCTGCTTGTAAATCATACTTCAGTCAGTACTTTGGTGATAAATTTATGGTATGACATTAGCTGAACATAACTTGTTATCAAGAGAGCCATCAATGGAACTTTAAAAGCTGTATTTGAACGAGAGGTCTACATGTCTAGAGTAATAGCAACATACAGTGCATGAGCAGCTGGGCTTCAGGCTGGAACTACAGATGGTTTGAAATGTCAAAGTGTGAAAATGCATTAATGGCATTCATGGTTGCCAGCGTAAGCATTGGGAGGGATCATAAAAAAAGCAGTTTGAATTTATGTCCTAATCCAGTGACAGGTGTTTTTGGCACCTCTACACCACCTACCATTACACTGCATATGGAGAAGAGACCACACATTAAATTCCACATGTGTCAGTTCAGGTTCAGCTTTGGCATTTTGCCTAATTTCTCCTGCCTGTTCAAAGTTACTCTAATAAAAAGCACCATCATTATTCTCCACCTTGGCTACAGAAGGGCCTTTAAGTTTCTACAGCTTTAGAGATCAGCAACAGGGACCTGAAAAACTTCATTAACGCCATAGCAGAATGAATCATAACTCCGACAGCAAATGAAGTAATATATTATGGAGTAATATCAAATGGATATCTTATATCAACTCATATTACTTGTGAATACTCTTATTGGTCTTGTAGGTCTTATAATTAATGATTGTCTATCTATAGATCTCTCTTTTTATACTACATGCTCACATGCCCTCCTTCTAGTTTAGAGGGAAGCTGGCTATCAGCCATGTGCCACCAAACATGCCACATTTTCCTGCCCTTTGTCTTACTGTATGTGTCTGTGTGTCCTGTCTGCCTGTGTAGCTTGCCAGCTATTCAACAGAATCATTCAAAAGATGATTTGTTTTCATTTTGTACTGTGTGTAATCAAAGTTTCAGACTTTTATGGAGGTCACAACATTTACACTTTCAAACTAGCCCAATTTGGTGAAAAAACTGTGAATCCGGCAACCCTAAAGTGCCTATTGCCATAGCAACCCTTATTGCATAGAATCCCTAGTGTTTCCCAACTGTAAAATGGAGTTTCAATACAGTAACTGTTTTCAGGGTGTTCTATGCAGTCGTTCACCCCCCCCGCCAGGCCTAAAGTCCATAACACACTGAACATGACGTGAATAAATGGCAGGAAAATGTGAAATATTCTGATACTACTGTATTTTTTTGATCGAAAACTATACGACCCGGTGCCACATGATTTTTTTTCTTGGAAATTTTGCTGTGCAGAACCTTCTATCACAAACATCTCCTTTGCTTCTCACGAAATGGGTAAACTGAACATGCAGGATGCTTTCCACTTAGGAAAAGCAAAAGGAGGACAGACAGTTTCTCGGCTTCATTCAGGAGCTGGAAATCTGAGTGCTTTTTGCAGATCCACACGAGACAAGGTACAAAACAAACAGGCCGAATGTCTTTAAGTGCAAATAAGACATCCTTTGCTCCTCACAGAATGAGCAAACTGCAACACTGGGCTACTACGTCAAAAATAGCACGGAGAGCTTCATTCAGCTCTTCATTCATTCAGAGTTCAACATGAAACTTATACGTTTGTTGCTGAGTTTGAGCTGCTTTTGGACATTCTAATCCTTAACACTTTTGTAGAAAAAAAGTTCCACACTGCCAAACGCTGCACACTCACTCTCTTCTCACTGCTCCTCCCTCACCTGTGGGCTAATGTACCCCTCTGTTTTTCCTTTCAGCTATTTAAACCAGGCTCAATAACACTTTCTTTAATCTTTTTGGTGCCATGGTACATTTTGAATGGAGTCCAAAATGAAAAAATGCAAAACTATCCTACTTTTGTTAAAGTGGCAGACATGGCGAGTGCTGTGGATCATCACATTGAGCTGATACATTGGAAAGCAGTCCATTGTGAGAGAAAACGGGTGAGAGTGAAATAATACTGTACTACCAAAATGAAATGTTAATGAATCAAGGGATTTACACAGAATATAAATGTTATGCACTTAAAGTACTTTATTATTCTCATTTATCAGTCATGCATTATTCTCTAATTTTTGCCAAAGGTTTTTGCTACATCTAGTTACCTCCTTCTTGTAGATTTCCACATACGGATTGTAAAAAACCTATTCCCCATGCTACTGAAGCTGTCACTTCACCGGAATTCATACTAGATGTATGCTACAGGATCCAGCACATTCAGCTGGTCCTCCTCTCTTTTAAGCCTAAGATTGAGATGTCAATCCATGCAGACATACGGATGGAGTCCAAAAACTCTCGCCAAATCCGACCTGACAGCTCTGAGTTTTGAATGAATACTTTACAGGACTTACAGAGTGACTTGCGACAGCAGAAGGACACCATGCTTTAGCTTCGTTTTTTTCTTTACTGACTCTCACATGTTTTGCTTGCAGCTAGTGTATAGTTTTATAGCTTTAATAGGTTTATATAAGCCATGAATGCCATGTTCCTCCAAAATTCATTAACAAAAATATCTGGAACTTGAATTGTTTGCAGTATAATTGTCTACATCAGATCTAACACCCTGCACAGTTTCAACCTTAGCTTTAACCTTAATCTAACACACCTGATCCAGGTAATGAAGGCCTTCAGGGCTTCTGAATATTAAAGCCAGGTGTGTTGAATCTAAAATGGTAAGTGTGGATTTGGCACCACTGGTCTACACTGTTAAAAATGAGAGGTCAGCTCAACTTAAAATGTTGACTTAACTTGAGGACACAAGAGTTTACCCATCTCAGCCTTCCTAGTTGAGTCCAAAGTTCTCTTAATTTTTCAGTTCTGCATCTCAGTTAGGTAAATAAAATATACTTGTTTTTTAATACCCAGTTTCCCCAATAACCAGGACTCTTTTCATCACACATCCTACTAGACATTTTGTCCTGTTGGGTAAACGCTTATGGTTGGCTATGGTGGGGTTCAAACTCACAACCTCCTGTTGGGGTGAGGGCTAAGTCCACTGCACCACTCAGGAACATATGAAGCAACTTAGACTTTGTGTCCATACATGTTTAATTCACTGTAGAAAATATTTGTTGTATTAACTTAACATGGCCTAGGCTCATGTGGTACAACTGTCTACTAAATCATCCTAACATCAGGAGATTGTGCGTTTGAATATCAGCAATGCCACAAGTGACCATATCTGGAAGCCCAACAGTAAAATGCCAGATGGAACCGTGTAAGATAAGGAGTGCCAGCTCCAACTCCTAAATTGAGTAAAAAATGCAATCTTGATTTTGTTTATCTACCTGAGATGCAAACCTAGAATCGGTAGCTGGGAGGATTTTGTGACTCAACTAACAAGTCTGAGTTGGGGGAACTCTGAAGAAAAGCCATGTTATCCGTTACTCAAAAATTTTAAGTTGAGCATACTTCTCATTTATTGCAGTGTACATGTTATCCTCATTTGTTAGTTTGGGCAGGTTTCTTTGAGCGTAGGGACATATGTTTTTTTTTCTTTAAAAACAGAGGCATCTAACATATGCCTCAACAACACTAATGATCACACACTCACACACCACACCATCACAAAATGAAAGAGAAGAGAGAAAGAAACTCACAAAATTGAACAATCTTCTGCATCTTCTCCCAGACTGTGAACGTCAGGTTCGCAAGATGTTTTGCCACATGTAGAAGCTTTCCTGAAGGCCTCTCTGGATCCTGTATGGTGCACTTGGCTCTGGAAGAACATTCAGGAGTCAGTTCTGCTTTGGCTTTGGGTTCAGATTCACAGAAAAAAGAGAAAGAGGAAAGAACACTCACCTTTTCATGGTTGCTTTGTAGGCCTGTGGAACAAAAAGAGAGAATATTAATACATTAGATTTCTATTGCAAAGACACTTTACATATGACATAGCTTATGCACAGTTGTTGTGCTTTATTAAAGACTGTAGTTGGCCACAGCTACACTGTACAAAAGGAATGTTTTGTCCAACAGTTTGCTCTATTTCTAGACACTTGATGGCTCTTCAAGTGTTCTTTAATAAAGAATTGCTTCTATACAGAACCATGAACACTCAAAGAAGTTAAGTTTCTCAGATTGATGGAGAATGTACTGTATTTGGCTCTATGTAGAACATACAGCTATATAGCACCAAAAATGGTTCTTCTATTGGTACAAGCTTGACATCATAACAATAGCAAAATCCTTTTTAGTGCTATATAGAACCCTTTTAAAAGGTAGCCAGTGATCTAACCCTTCCTTCACAGTAAGAGTCCTTATAGAATAACCCAACTAATAAACACGGCAGAACTAATACTTTAAAATTAACATAACGATAGTATTTTTGATGGTATGTAGAACAATTGGTTCTTTTTTGTCTGTGAAAAAGTAAATATCATAACGTATATTGCATATCATTAAACTTTTCTGATTGTGTTTTTGCCATATCGCCCATCTTTACATTACATTGATATGTAACTACTGATAAAAATATCCCACTTGTAAGAATGCAACATCTTTGGCTCCCATCTGCTCTTCTATGGCTCTAACTGTGTCCGAAAGTGATGATATCTCTCTGCTCATCTTCTCAATCTTCTCCTGCATCATCTGACTCTTCTGCTCCTCTTCCTCCCTCAATGCAGCTATCCTGGCTGCCTCTTCTTCTCGTAGAAACTGGTGAATCTTCTCAAACTCCTCCCGTATCTGCCTCTCTGTGTGTTGGGCCTGAGTCTGGAATGAAGAGTAAGTCAAATTTGACTAGTCAGGTAATGATATGAGTTCAACATCAGAATCTGTGTAGATTTCCATTCTAACCTTTATATGTTCTGCAGTCTGATCCCAGTTCACTTTAAACTCTTTAAACATCTTCAGTTTTTCCTGTAGTGGCTTCAGGGCATTTTTGAGTTCCTCCTGAAATAAATCAACACAAAGGCTGCGTTACAGCTTCTAATTTTACACATCAAGAAGAGTAAAGCACTGGTCACTGAGAGAACCTTACTGTACAGTGTTCACTACGGCTGATATTCAGAGCTGGCAACTTAGTTCATTCAAAAGATACATCAGTAAGCACACAGGGATTACCCATGCAGGGCAAAGGGCAAACTCGATATTCTGGCATATTCTGATTATTGAAATTTCCTGTGATCGGTTCATGCCTCAGAGATTGGCAGATTTTTCATGTGTAGTGACACATGTGAGCTTTTCAGTTACATGTAGGACACTCATTTTAGAACAAATGACAAAGAGGGCGAAACTGGGCAGAAGAAAATGTGGAATCTCACTTAATGGATGAAATATGTCCAACTCTAATTGAACTGATCCAGATGACTAGCCCACCTAATTAGTTGGTTCAGGTGTGTTAAATTTGAGCTGGATCTGAGTTTTCCTGGAAGACAGACACATCTGTGAAGCGTACGATGTGGGTTCAGTATCTGCACGACCTCATTTGAACATCTACAGATGTGCAAGAAAGGTTCAGTGACTAAACATCTGGATAGGATTTCTTTTGAACATCTGTGATATCTGGCTAGGCCCACATTCAAGACTGTCTCAATATGGATGTCTGGACTTAACCTACACCGTCTAATGCTTTTGTGTTAGCTTGTAATTTTTCATGTTAAATGAATCATGCTTTCATTAAATAAAAATAGCTTCTAAATAAAATGTTATTGTGAACATGACAACAATGACATACTAATAATTTGAGTTTCAATGAAACCTCAATGAAAAGTGTTTTTTTTTTTTTTTACAAATCCTTTGTTTGCTTGGACACTTTCTATGTATTCATACGACTATGTATACGCTGTTAAAAACGGTTTGTCAGATCAGCCTAAAAAGTACTTGATGTAGTAACAAGCAGTTTAACAGCTTTTAGTAACTCCATCAAATACTTTGAATGAAACATTATAAAGGAGGAGAAGACACATACAAAAAACGGTAAATGCAGAGCTGTTTATGTACAATTTCTTGCCCTGTAATCGGCTTGCTGGTAAAACCACAAGTGGGAACTGCCATTCCTCGTTAAGGAGATATGTGCACGTGCTGCAGCCAGAACAACCTGAAGAAACATTTTTGTGCGTTATTTGAGCCAAACTATTTATGATGTTTTTGTCAGATATTATCAATGATTTCAAATTTGTTTTTTTAATATTAATGTGTCTTTTATTTATGGGGTTTATAGATCTCATTCCCTCTCCTATCCCCATAGTAGGTCTTGTATGACTGGAAATAATTACCCAAGGGTGTTACCAAGATGACTGTCCAGTGGGCAGACTTTCCTATAAGGACTCTGGTGCACAAAGTAAGTCTAGTTTAGTTGAACAAAAGCAATATTTTACATTAATTCAAACCTCAAGAACCCTTCAAATCTGCCTTGCTAGACTTTTTTTTTACAACAATATGACATAACGTCATATTTCTATAGCTAACATTGGCATTAAATGGCTTTTCATAGTTATTTGGATGTATTTCACATTGGCCATCGACATGAATTTCAAGGTAAAACTAATAACAAATGCCCACACAGTGGTACTGAATGCAGCACAGCTCTTTGTAGGAGGAAATATTACACAAGAGAAAAGTCTGAATCATGAATAACTGAGACACACCTCTGTTTTGGGTAAACTGTGTTTGAGCACAGCTTAAGTCCATAGACAGTCCTGAACTTTAAATACTGATGTCTATAATTTTGGTATCATCTGCTCACTCACACTTAACTCCACTCTGAATACAGCCCAAAGTGTTTTAAAGGATATAAGTGGTCACACTCACTGGTATAAACCTTATTTTGTTTTAGTAAACCTATACACAGCAACAAATGTATTTGGAAGTGCATAATTCCTTAACTTGTTATAACAGGTGATAAGGAACTTAGTGACATTGGTTCTTTTGTTTAGGATCTGTAGAGTAGTTTGGTAAGTAAAATAAACTGTAGCGCTTTCTTTTACAGTCCCTTACAGTCCCAGGAAAAAAGTGAGGTACAAACTCAGATGTACTAGATAATTATTTTGGGCAGCATGATGGTAAGGTCTGAGATGGTTTAACTAAATTACACTTAAATGCCAAACAGGTTTGAGATATTGACTGAGTAAAATAAGAGTAAGTGTGGGGTACAATCTCAAAAGTTCTGTGTAGTTTTGGGTGAAATTTTGGGTGAAATGCCGCTAAGTGCTAAGACTTACTGAAAAGACTGACAGTTTCTAACTATTAAACTGTTAAAGTACATAGTAAAATATTTCAGAATTATTAAGAGTAATGAGGCTGGTACAAACATACTCACATTAAATTTCACTGTAATGTCACACATTTAAACAGGAAAGTAAATCAGAATTATACTTTTTACCTCAAACAGCTGCATATTACTGCTGAGCTTGTACTATAAACTTGCCTAGAACTTCTCCTTCAGTATAAGGTTTAGATGGACTACTTGGAACTTGATCATGATACTCAAAACAATTACCTAGTACTTTGGATTTTGTACCTCACTCTTACCTGGTTAATACCTAGAATATAACGGACTGTAAAAGAAAACGTTACTGAAAGTGTTATTTCTGTAAATTGACATTCAAAGTCTAAATGAAAACACAATACATTCTGCTGGATACACAATCTGCTCACCTTGTAGTCTGTTACAGCCTCATCAATGGGACGTAATTTGTGCTTGGTGTGTTGTCTTGAGGTCTGACACACCACACACACCGGCTGTTGATCATTCACACAGAAGAGTTTGAGTTTCTCACTGTGCAGACTGCACAGACTTTCCAACCCTGCTGAAGGTCTCTGACTTCTCTCCTGTAAGAAAGTCTCACACAGGTTCTTCAAAGCCAAGTTTCCAGGAGGCCGGTCCAGCGAAGACTTCCTCCTGCAAACTGGACATTCTCTGGATCCTTTGATCTTCCAGAACTGCTCCAGACAGGCTTTACACACACTGTGACTACAGTGCAGAAGAACAGGATGCTTGAAGATTTCACAGCACACAGGACACGAGAGATCCTCCTCTGAGAAAGTTCTAGAAGCCATTGTCTTTCACCGTTGGCCAGTGTGTCTTGTTTGCGGCAGACTTCTTGGTATTAACTCTGATCAAAGTCCTTCAGTCCAGCCAAAAACAAACAAATGAACAAACAAAAAAAGAGACCATGACCAACATAAGTTCAGAAAATTATTTTATAGATTTCATTCCTTGTGTTAAAAATCACTTTGTTGCAGCAGTAAGCTGTATTAAGGAGCACACAGGAGTGGTTAGACTTTGCACTTCCTTATGGAGGTTAAAGGTTTTCCGCAGGAGGAGTTTAAGTGGATATTGTTGTCTCTGGAATGTTGTTGAAATGTTAGTGTTTCTTTCTTTGGAGAGCGAGGTAGCCTACTGGTAAAATGAGCAAACCAGCAAACAAAAGGGTTGGTTTACTGGGTATTACTAGTTGGGGCTAAGCTGCAGACCAACCTGCAGTTTTGCCCTTGGGCAGGGCACTTAACCCCTCCTACCTCAGACATAGTTGTGCTGCTCCTAGTGTGGGTGTTATCAGGCGGTAACATGACAAAGATTCAGACCTTAGATATTTACAAGGATTATGTTTTGATGTATTTAAACCCAAGGCAATAATAGAGATAGTAATAAGCTAAATATGTACAAAACCGTCATTTATTGGATACTTTCTGTTATGAGGTGTCTGTCCCAAACCGTAACCCTTTAATTTCAACTTCTGAAAATAATACTTACGTTTTTGTATTTTTTCAATGTTTTATTGTTTTAAATTTGATTTGATTTCTTTTAAAGTGAAGTAGAAAAATCTGTTTTTATGTCACTACCGAAACAGAAAGAGTTTTAGTCTATGGGTGGAGCCTTATTATAGCCACACCCCTTCTTTTTAGAGCAGGAAGTGAGACTGCATCCCTGTCCCTCATGGCCACATGGTCAGCAGTTAGATCTCTTTGTTTTGAAGTAAATGTGTCCCAAAATCTGGGAATCAGTGTGTAACATTAAGAAATGTCACTAACAAAACACACATTTTCTGCAATAAAGTAACATTTTTGTGTTTTAATAAAAAGATTATGATTGTATGTGTGTACAACTGTTCAAAGCTGTGTTCGCTAGTCATGTACTGTCTAGCATTTTTGAGTTCTGCTCAAACTGACGTGAGCTGTTTATCTGTACGTTGATGTGCTTGATGCCCTATAATAGCCCTGTTCAGCTGTTTTGTGCTTTTTTGGCACCTTTATTTTTAAGAATGTAGGGGACGTTCTTATTGGGCAAGCCTCACTTTAGGCCTGTTATCCAGCTTTATGAAATCCCCCCTTCAGAGAGCCAGAGTTTGATGAACCCTTCCTCCACTGTCTCCAGAGCATGGGTCACAAAAGAGCCTCCCGGAAAGCTGATCCGTACTATTTCAGGAGCTTACATGAGCCAGCGGCAACACAAGGCTGAGGAAAGCGCTGACGGCGGACTCAGGGCGACGCAGCGATTTCAGTGTGAAAAATGGGCTTAATGAAGCACTTTAAACTCCCGCCATTATCAGCCCGAGAGGATCTGCAACTCCATAACTGGGAGCTTCGTGCTGATGGGGAGTGCAAAAAATGATCAAGAATAGGAAATGACTGTATTAATTTAGATCTTAAACATTTCTGGCAGGGAAGAAAAGAGATGAAGGAAGGGAGGGAGAGAGAAATTGAGTGAGATGAAATGCAGTGAGAGGCGGATTCTTATCTTAATCCCAGAGTTAGTGGCCTTCAGAGGTGATCCCGTGCTGCTGGAGCAAGCGTAGATCCAGAACCGCAGACAGGAGCAGAGGACGGTGATCAACAGGAAAGGCACAAATACACATGAAGTAGAGCAAGTGGTGTTTCATCAAGTGCATGAATGGCATCTAGCATAGGCTGATGGGTGAAGTAAAAGAATGACGTGGGAGGTGTATGCCTGCTCACACAGAGTTTGGTAATCCCTGGGGGTTTCTCCGGACAAATAAAATGAAGAATTTTTTGGGAGGAATCTTGCTGAGTTACCTTTCAGAACAAACTTAAGAGTGGAGAGATGTTTATAAGAGCTAGCTAAACAAAGCTAGATGATTGCTGGATAACTGAAGGCTCCTCTTTATGAAAGTCAGAACAAACTTTCATGTTAGACCTTGAACGTTTGTTCTGACCACCGCCAAAAAAAAAATAAGAATCCCGACTTGCCTCCTCCACCATCGCAATGATTATGGACTTTCAATGGATTTCCATTGACAAGTAAATATTAATTCATTCTGGTGTTTGGGTTGGATCCAGAACACCTCCATTCTTTATTTCCATTCTTCGGTGTAGGACCTTGGGTGCACTGTAAAAAGATGTATATTGTACCTTAAAAAAGTAACCTGGTTGTTTGTGCTTCTAATATTAGGTTAAAAGATTGGCAATCAAGTCTATCTCCCATATTCACCACCAGCTACACTTTGCCTTCTCATTCCTTAGTGAAAGTGTAATGTTCCCAGACATTACAGTGAGACTGTTTCAGTCATTAGTTCTAACCTACTGCCTCTCAAGTGGCACAGCAACATATTCTCAGCATAGAATGGACCCTAAAAAGATGTAGGAGTGCACATCCCATTACCCAAACACTGCACGAAGATGGTACACACAATGTAAATGTATGCTCAAAGGTACTACAATGGTCTTAAGGTCCAGCTGTATACCTTAAATAAGTTTTTCCCAGAGGAAAGGTGCATATTTGCAACCTAATGTTTTTTTAAAACAGAAGAATAAAATAAAAGGTTTGGAGTCAAAACAGAATGTATGGAGTAATAATATATCATTTCATATGGAACAAGGGTACAGTGATGTTTCCTAACTAAAGGTGCTGAAGACTTGAGGATACTTGAGGCTACCACCCCAGACGCATAACGGATACCATCACTGTGACCTTTTTTTTTTGAGAGTGTAGCAACAGCCATTTGCTAAAATACATAACATGGTAAAAACAGATTACAAGCCAGTTCTCCCTCTATAAACCAGGTGTCTTTCTGTTCCCCAGCCCCTCAGAGAGTGTTCAGTTCTTGTTCAGTGGCCACTGCTCTCAAAAAGACTTGCCAGCAGCCCTTATCCATCACTTATAGGCTGTAAAAGTCTGAACATCTGGTAGGTTCATAATTTATGGATTATTCATTACACATGCACGCTTACCAGCAAAGCATTCATTCATGTCACAACATGAAGTATTGCTCTGGTGAATTCACAGTAGTTTACATACATGTTCAGGGCCAGGCACAGACTGTTAGAGGAGCAAGTGCTCAAAGTTAAAAAGCATGAAGATTTGAAAACACCAACTACAGTTTATTGAACCAGTCAAAATTTTCTCTTGAAAAGGATCTCGAGCATAGCTTAAAAAAGAGTGTGTATGTGTAGATATATATATATATATATATATATATATATATATATATGTATGTATGTCGCTGTTGTCGGAACAAAATCTCCAAAATTTACAGTAACTTTACAGGAGAAGGAAAAAGCACACTTTACTTGTAATGTAAGTCAATGGAACCAGATATTTTTCCAAGTAATTTTGATCCGTTTTTTGGGGGCCATTCATCATGACATTTACACACAATGTAAAGGACAATAGGTAGTTTCAAATTAGGTCAAAAATTGAAAATTGATAAGAACGGAGATACGAGGTTTCGTTTCCGACAACAGCGATATATAAGGCAATATATAAATATGAACATCATGGGCTGAAAATGAAATCAAAAATGTATATATCAGACTGAGGTGGCCTTGGGTAGCAAACTTGTCCAAACGGTGGAATTCAGACTTACTGGATTAATTACTTAACAGTAAAGTTTTTTTCACTTGATTTGGTTAGAACTGTGTTTTTAAATAGATATCAGTACATTTGCCTCTTATAATCACCACAAGTGTGAAATATATAAATGGCTGCAATTTCAGCTTAGTTTTTAGCTCACACTGAATCCTGCCTCTAACAAGGCTTAGCCTGCAGGGAACTCACAATCAAGGAAGGTTTCATTTTGTGCTGCTGATTGAAGAAAGTTTGCCACAGCTTGTTTCAAGCTGATGAAAAGTTTAGAACACTGTGATCACCAGAGGACTCTTAGATGGAAGATCTTTATTTCTTTTGCCAGTTTAAATAGAATAAATTTATGCTCCACCGAAGGGGCTGGGCAGGGTCATAATAACACAACAGTGGATATGACAGATAGCTGGTAAGTTAACATACACTAATAAGTAGGTGGGAACCCTCATGGCCTTTGAGGCCTTTAGAAAAGCCTAATGATTTCTGTGAAATTCACTTCATTGTCAAGCTGTGGTTGGATTAATCTGAGCTGACAGCCATGTTGATTTCTAGCTCTTGGTTTTATTTTCATATTAAAGAGGCAGAACTTACTGTTATATTTGAACCTGACTTGTCAATTTTACCTGGTTTTATGATTAAACGTTTTGTCTAAAACAGAGATCAGTAAACCTCTAACTCTGAAAACTGTCAGGAATCCACAAGAGTGTTCTAGAAAGATGTTGGGGTCTAAAGTGTTAAGCATGGCACAAGCAAAGCTGCTCATTCTGTTCTGTTAAAAAAATCAAAGTCAAATCAATGAAATGAAATTTTCATTTGTAATGGCTGATACTGTTAAAAAGTGCTAAGTGTCGGTAAAGAGTCTAAAATAGTGCATTGTTAGTGGTGCTGGTAGAGTGAAGGTACAGCTGGTGTGGTGTGTGAGTGTGAGCTGAAGAGATAAGCTGCTGCAGAATTGTTTAATGAACTCATTAATGATTACTGAGATGTTAACCCAGCTGACAGAGCTGGACACATCATTAAAGCACAGCTTCACTGCAGGACGCGTGTGCTCCAGTAAGGGAGTAATGCTTTGGTTTGTTTGTCTGTGTGGGTGTGGGGGTGCGACTGTGGCTGTCAATTTTACACTGCCTATCAATGATTTTGGGGCCTCCTGAGCCTTTCAAAATGTTTTTATTACAAATGGACATTTTTTTATTTGTTGGTTTACGATAAAGACTGACCAGATGGCGAAAAGCATATCACACAATAAATATTTTTAACAGTTTTTGTGACAGTGCTATCTTGGTAATGATGCCAAACCCCACACATTTAATCCTCTTGTAGTGATATCTCAGCACACAAACCTATCAGCTGTTTAAACCACCGTTGAGGTGAAGGGTTTCAATATGTGTTTTTAACACTAATTTGGAAAAGAAAACCGTTAAATCATTATTTATGCAACACCTGCTCTTCATACCATGGAAGACACTTGAAGAACACATGAGCATGAAATGTTGACAAATATACCCAAATTATTAGTAGATTATGTTCATCT